ACTAAAAAAGGGCACAAAGCTGGACAAATTAACACCAAGAAAAGAAAACATCAAACTCACAGGCCATTACATCCCAAAGAACATAAAACCTCTCAAGGTAAACAGGGAAGATGGAACAACAGACATAATATCTAATATATCAATCATTTTCACAGAGAACTATCAGATTCAGTGGATGCCACCAGAGGAACTTCGGTAGTAACCAAGCTGAAATTCAGTTCTGACAGTGAAGTTAGGTGGAAAATACCTTATCATCTTCCCAGGCCAGGGATAACCCACACCTGTGCTGATGCTCAACATTTCAGACATGGAAGGATCACTCCTCCAAGTAAACTGTCTTTTCCCTCAAGATCTCCCTTCCAAACACACAACTTATCACACAACTTTTCAGCTTCTGAAGCCTGGTGAAGGGTCAGCCCAAAACAGTAGGACTGCACAATGATCTCAAGTTTTACGCCAAAGTAGGATGAAGTTTAAAGCAGCACATTTTTGATATACACAGATAAAACAGAGAACATGACTTCAACCTCAGCTCTTACCAGACTGTGATAGTTACTTCCATTATTAGCATAACACACCTAGAACAGGAAACACTAGAGAAACATTTACTTTACTATTACCTGCTCCCTTACACATGCCCAGCAAATGACCTTTTTATTTACACACTCATCTCCTGCTGTCATCCACGGAAGCTGTGCAGGAAAGCCACAGGCAAAAACTGAACAAGTTTTCCTCAGAACTATTTATGTACAATGCAATTGTGTCTGTACATGTGCACAGGTAAAAGTTGATTTAATAAAATTATTGTCTTACTTAAAAATACTTTAATACACATAACTATTTAATGTAGCACTCCGAACCACTTTATAAAATCATCAGATGTGTGACTTTTAGTATAACTTTGTGATATACTTTTCATAGATCAGACCTTCTAGGAAGAAGCCATTTATTAGTTTTGTTAATGCTTTAAAACATGTTTGATGCTATGCAACTCCAAAAGTCTACCAGCGTTTAAATAACCCACTGCTGGCTGATTATTGATTTTGCAGATATACTTCCTCCTTACTCCAAGGTAACAAACATGGATCCATAGAGACGAAAGCCAGAGATGCTTAGAGAAGACTCAAAGCAACTTCTGACAGGATTTTACTGCCTACCAATGATTTTATATTGTTTTAGCTAAGTCATCCTGTCTTTGATAATTTGCTACTCTCCCATCCTGTCCCTCTTCTCCTGTTTCATAGCACCACAATCAGAGTTAGCAATCCCTGCACATACAATCTGAGCACCTCTCGTTCCAGCACTTACTCTGACAGAATACTGTGTTACACTGTTTTATCTAAATAGATTAAAACTAGTCACTGGGAAAGACACTTTCTACAAGTACAAGAGCGTGTCCACGAGTACGTGAAGTACTTCTGAACATGAATTACGAGAGCACTCTGCACAAAATTGCAAGCCTGTAATAAAACCAATGATTGGAATTTTGTTGGGTTTGTGGCAAATGGGGATCCTGGCAATGCTTCTTGCTGGGCTGGGATCACACCCTGGGTTGCAGTTGAGGATTCCAGGGAAGCTGCACAGAATGAGTTTATTTTTATTATTTCTATCTTTACTGGGGTTCAGGTGGCACTAGACCCAGTGTGAGCTGCAGCTTCAGCATAGGACTCTTTCAGACAAGAACAAACCTGGGACACTCAGAGAAAGCTCGGGATGAATCTCACCTCAGCATGGCTTCAGTCCTTCATGGAGGAGATTAAGTCACTCCTGGTAGTAATTCTACATTTTAGACAATTGCCCTGCAGTATTTTAGGCACACACTGCAAAATTTTAAGATCCATTTTTAATGGTGTATCCAGCTTCACACATACATAAATCTGTAAGAAAATTCAAAAACTGGTCTTGCCTCTAACAGCTTGTCCTTAATCACAACAGCGTTATTTTGTGAATGATTGGCCAAATGGTTATTCTTGTTTCAAATGCATGTCATAAACAGCTTACTGAAAGGAAACCAAGCTAAACCATACCAAACAAATGCCACTATGTCCCCACACCAATTCCACTTAAAACTCCTTACTTAAAAATCAAGTATTTCTCAAAGCTAGCAGGAATTCGAAAAAAACCACAATTATTTTCCTTTGACAATAAAGACCACATGGAGGTACAGTGTTGACACAGTGCTGCTGAAGCTCTCTTTCATAATAAAACCTTATATTGTTAGACCTGCAGAGAGATGTACACAGCTGGACCCTCCTAATGTTACAAAGATGGTGTTAAATCTGCCTGAGATCCATTGGCACGTATCTATTTATAAAGTCTCCACAGTTTGCTAAGAGCAATGGCTAATGAAACCCAGCATAACAAATTTTAAACCTAGGTACCTGCAGTTAAATTGTGCAAGCAATGTTTGTCTGTACATTGGTAAACCTGGCTGGTGAAGAATGTGTTAAATGTCAGTGCAGATCCATAGATAAACACACCTCTTGGAAACCTGCCTTTTCATTGCTCTGTTCTTGAGGGAGAACATCCACAGCTTTCAATATAACATGGCAATTTAGAAAAAAAATCTTTTTAAAAACTGAACCATCCTAAAACTTTCTCAAACAGACTCTAAAGCTAAAAGGAAGGAAAATCTAATTCTTTATAGACAGCATGAGAGCTACTTCAAAATGTTCTGTCCATTCCTCTGTAAGAAAGGAAACCAGAATGCAAGGAAAGGAGGCACAAAAAAAAGAGCAAATAACTACACCATATTCCCTGAATATAACAGGTTAGTGGAACTGAAGTGTTATTCTGCAGAGAATGGAAATTCACTCCAAGGGGAAACAGAAGGGAAAAGGTGCCTGACAGGTAAAATGCAAGTTGGATATTAGGAAGGGAAAAAGCAAGTAAGAGCAGATAGTGAAGGACACAAAACCAAATAACAATAAAGCCTATTTGCATATCAGAAGCAGGAAACTTTGCGGGGAATCATTGGATTTGCTAGAGCTGGGATTGAATAGAGCACTTGAAGAAGATAAGGGCATTGCAGACAATCCAAACTATGTCTTTTCACCAGCCTTTGCTATGGAAAATATTGGGAAAACACATTCCTGACTTCTCTGATAAAGTGACTGACATTTCTTCAAACTGAAAAATCAAAATGGGGTGAGGAAACACAATCAATTGAAAGCAATAAATGATGAGAGATGAGCTCCTGTCCCACTCCCATCGACAGGTCTTTTACCATTGATTTTAGCACTGTCAGTATTTTACTTCAGGACTGAACAGAAACAGTTTCAAAACGTGAAAAGGCTGAGCTGGCCATCACAGTAGATTGTTCAAGTTGCAGCAGTGGTCACAAAAACCAAGCAAAATCAGAGAACATAAAAGAACAAAAAAGGTACAGTAGGAAAGACTATCTTTTTAGTCAATATCCAATCTCTTCTGGAGTATCTATTCAGCTTAGGATTCCTGCTCTAAACCAATGACAGTGGTATTTGACAAGAGCTGGACAACAATCAAAAATGATTATGGAAGCAAGTTTTAAAAGCTAGAAAGAACTAGGAATTTAATTTAGCAAAGAGATGGATAAGAGGAGACACAGCAGACCTGCAAAAAATACTATGAGATACCAGCAAATAGGATGCTCTTCAATTTAAACTTTCTCTGGGTACTGGAGAAAAGAGAAACTCAGGGCAATAAAAAGTTACCAAAAAAAAAAAAAAA